CCTGGACAAACACGGCGGCAGCTCGGAGAATCGCAGAAATGGCAGAAAACCCTGGTGGGCACCGGCGAGGAGTGAGGTACCAGCAAAGGTGCATCGAGCCCGCTGCCAGTTTTCTACTTTGCAAATAAATAAATAAAATAAATAGAAAAGCCAACAATGTTTCCTGCCACCGAGGAACGAAAGAGCCCGGTCTGTACTCACCACGCAGGAAAGTGGAGGAGTAGGTGGCGAAGGAGTCGAAGATGCTGTTGGTTGCCATCCCCCTCGTCCCGTACTCCGGCTCTCCTGGAGGAGCTGCTGGCCAGTGGGAGGAGGAAGAGGAGGGATGGGAGAGGCAGCAGTGAGTGGGAGGAAGAGGAAAACCCCGCCGGTGGCACAGGTAGCCTCCGGCTGGCTGGTGGTTCTGTGGTCGGCACGGCAGAGCCGCCGGCTCGGCATCCGCTGGGTGGGAGAGCGGCGTCACCTGATCCGTGGCGTCAACAGGCCAACGATATCGCTGCGGCTTCGGGGTGCTGGCATTGGGGTTTTTTTCCCCCCCTGTATATTTTTCTTACTCATAATTTTATGGTTTGTAGTTGGTGGTTCATGGGAGGCTCGCTCGGACTCATGGCTGAGTGACAGACGGGAGCGGAGGAGACATTTCTCTTTAATTAATTATATTGTTGCCTTAGAAGAAACAAAGAAGTGAGCCCGTAGATTCCTAATTGGGTGATTGAAGTAATAACCCATTTACATGCCGTGGTTTTCTCCTTTTAACTGCCTTTTCTCCCACATTCACCACTTGTCTGTATCCTAATTTTGAGCTGTACGTGGCTTTCCGACTCCCAGCCGGGTATGGGGACGGCATGCCGAGACCGTTTCCATATGTGTAGTGGATGGGTGGTTCTTCTTCACAAGGATTTTATGTGAATTAGTATTAAGCAAAAATACGAAGCACATGTGGCAGAATAAACAGCGCTGCCTGCGGAGGGGGCACCGGGGAGGGTGGAGAGGGCTGGCGAGGAAGAGGAGGAAGGCAGCAGGTATGGCTGACCTCCTGCTTTGCCCAAATGACAACAGACAATTTTTATATATTTATGGTTTAGCAATAAAGTTAATTCAGTAATGCAGGCGCAGCAGATTTCCAGGAGCACCTGAAGATGCCATTTCTGCTGGACCACAGAAATGCCAGTGCCCAGTGGAACAGGAGATGCCATTGGACCCCCTCGCCTGGGGCTGATGAGTTTTCTCATAGAAAATTGCCATTATCACCCCTGGAGATGAATTTTCCCTAAATGGGAAGAAATGTAGAATTGAAATATGAAATGATATTTGTCCTTTTCTTTTTTTCTTCTCGTAAGAAAAAGCAAAGGGAGCTCTCTGATGCAGAGTAAAACAAATGCAAACTAAGCTTAAGTGACCAAAAATCTGCAGGAAAATAAGACCCAGCGCAGAAGGCTGGCTGTTGTGGCCCACGATTTCAAGGTATTTGGAGAGTTTGGTGCCCATCACGCCTTGCCACTCGCCGCTGTCATTCTTAGTTCGGTTTTTCATCCGATGGATGTTGGCGGTCAGACGTATCAAGATGTTATCAGCCAAGATGTTACAGATTTCTGCAGAGTTATTAGAGGCGGGGAAAAAAAAAAAAAAAAAAAAGCGGGTCATATTTACTGTGACTGAAAACTGCTTGTCTGCTGCTTTTAAGCAAAGAGGGGGAAAAAGCGGTTTCAGAGCAGCGAAAGGGGCAGAGGTTGTGCAAATGCTGGCACAAAAGGAAAGGGAAAAGCAACCCAGCCTGGAAAACACCGGCTGCTGCACAGAGCGGGGTCTGTGGCACTGAACAGCATCGCCTTGTCTCGCTTGCCAGACACCCACCACAACCACAGCTCCAGCCCCGGGGTGTGTGGCTACAGGCAGCGAGGTTGTTTCTAGCAGCGCGGTGGCATCGCTCCCCCCCAGCTCCCCAGCAGCGGGGGGATGTGGTCCCCTGAGCCCCACTGCGGGCCAGAGGGGAGCGGGGTGGCTCAGCCCAGCAGCATCGCGCTTGCCAGCCTTGCCTGCCTCAGAATTACAAACCTCCTGGGCGATGTTCAGGTTTTTCAGAGGCTGGGTTTGGATTTCATGGCTCCTTCCTTGCAGGAAGGGGGTGGGAGCCTCAGCCCTCACCTGGTTTAGGTCCCACTGGGGTTGATGGGGAGAAAAATCAGGATGAAGAGAAGGAGAAAGAGAAGGGGAAGGTGGTTTTAAGGTATTTACCCCCTCCCCACATTGGTAGGTGCCAGATGGGAGCTCTGATGCAGCTGCACTCATTTACACCCCGACCCAACACCCTTCAGCAGCACTGGTGAGGAGAAGGCTCTGGATGGGGCTTTTCTTCATCATCCTCCCACCACCTAAATCGCTGCAGTACCACCTCACGGACATGGTCCTCAGCTCCTGGTCATCATCCTCATGTGATCCACAAAATCAACATTTCTCATAAAATTTCTCCTCTTGCCCCTTCAAATCACGGCTTTTTCCTCATGCGGGGCTTTAAATCAGAACTCTCCCAATTTCTCCCGCAGGCAGATGCAAGGGGCATCGTGGGGCCACAACCTGAGGGTGTTCCAGACGTTATCTGGGCATGGTGGGGTGCTGGCAGCACCTGTCAGGGACATTAACACCCAGCCCAGGCAAGGCACTTAATTACACATTTATTTGTACCTTAGGTGAGAGTCACGGACATCCCAAATGATTTAGTGTTCGCCGGTACTTGTGGAAATCCAAAATTCCTCCCCAGCGCCCCAGGAGGCTCCAGAAGTATATGAGGACCAAAGCCGTGTTAAACTCTTGCTCTTTTACATCTGTTTAACAAAAATGGATCCTTTTTTCTTTAGCAGTGTTACCACAGGAGCTGCAAAACGGAGCCAGAATGAGGTGAAACACCTACATAGGAAGTAAAAGGGAATACAAACTGATCGAGGGATTAAAGACACTGTTCTGTTCGTCCTTGCAGAACACGGCTGGGGAATGGGCACGTTTTAAAAAATAACTGATTAACAGCTCTCATGCAGTGAATCGGTCCAATGGGATGGTCGCCCCTGGTGCACAGCTCTCCCACGCAGCCCCAGTGTGGGGCTGGTTTTTGGGGGGGTTTGTTCCCTGCGTGTCCAAGGAGAGCTCTGTGACTGCTGGAGGCAAGCGGGCTCGTTGCAGAGGGTGAATGTTTCCTGCCATTAATAATGCTGGTAGAAAAAAAATAATTAAATTGGAGAACCCAGCCCCAAAGCTTCTCCCTTGCTCTCACCACCCCGAAGCTTTGGATTCGCTCTGTGGGCATTGCTGGGAGTGAAGGGTGAACCCCCAAATCCCCCAAGCTTTAATGCTTCTCTGAAAAACCGGTCCCAGCTGCAGCTGCACGCTCCCCACCAAGGCGCCGGTACAACAACCAGCACTCGCACCCTCGCTGCCTGCGCCCCGCTGCCTGCGAGCTGCGGAACCACCCAGGCATTTCTGGTTTAGCAAACCCACCGCTTTTATCCCCAGCAGAGCTGCTTCTAAGAAAGACGTGACAGTCCCTGCAGCGAGCAGGTGGGGCGTGTGTGTGTGTGCGTGTGTGTGTGTGTGTTGGCCTGGCAGAGGGGCTTCGCACCTCAGCCGCTTCCTCCACGGCTCAGCAAAACCCGCGGCTGGGTGCAGCCACCCCCCTGGCTGCTCGCCACCAGCTCTCACCGCCGCGAACGGGGCGGCCACACTCAGCTCCCAAAGGTGCAGGCAGCGGGTCCGGCAGCTCCGGACACACGCACGCACACGCACACATCCCCCTGCACACCCAGACACGGCGGGAAATGCAAGAATTAAGGGCTTTAGCACCCATGGGGCTGCTCTGTAGGGAAAGCTGCTGCCCGGCTCGGTGTTTCCCAAACAGTGACACCGTGTGCGAGGCAGGGAGGCAGGATGGGGCTTTCAATTTATCGAGGGGAAACTGAGGCATGGGGCGATGGGGACTAAAATGTCCGTTGATTTGGGGAGATGATTGGAAGCGGGTAGGTCACGCCCTTAGCAGTGCACAGCCCGGCATGTCTGTGATGTGATGTGCTCTATCATTTCAGCATGTAGCATTGTAGCCAACCCAGCTGCCAGCATCTCACCCAGCTGTCCCAAATCAGAGAGGCTGCTCGCCACCCTCTCCAACCCCCCCAGCTGAGCCTGACCAGGGCAGGACTCGCTTGCCTGAGCCGTGAGGTCACCACAGCACATCCCTGCTCCACCTCCAATCCCAGCACCCAGCCCCACGCTGGCTCTGCCCGAAGCCATGGGAAAGGAGGCATGTGATCGGCTCCATAAAAACTGCCATGACCCAGGAACAACTCACATTGTCCGGACTTCACCCCGGCCCTTCCTCGCCGGCGCCAGGATGCTCTGGGAATGCCCACAGCCGGTGCACAGCACCCGGCCACGCGGAGCCGCGCGGGCACGCGTGTGTGGCGAGCGGCACAATGCCGGCCTTGTAACCCCGGTGCCGGCAGAGAGATGCTTCCTGACCCCGGAGCAGGGACTGGCCACGGGATCTCTCCCATCACGGCTGCCTTGTTTTCCCTGTGCATCCCAGGGGGTGCAAGGGAAAGCACCCGAGCCTGGGAGCTGCGGGTGCCTCTGAGGTGATCTGGGGCCCTGGCGTGGAGCTGTGGCGGTGCCGGAGATGGGGAGCGGTCGGAGGCAATGCAGAGGCAGCTGGGAGGTAAAGACAGAGGGATGCTGCAGAGAGTCCAGGGGATTGTCCACAGAGGTGACCACAGCCCTGGGATGAGGGGGGGGGAAAAGAGAGAAATTAAAAAAGAAAATTCAAGAGGGGATCAAACATCTGAGGCAAATCAGCAGTGCCTTTGGGCACAGACCTGGTGTCTGCCTGGATATCTCTGGAGTCCGGAGGGGCTCTGGGGACAGGGGCAGGGCAAGAGGGATGGGACAGGCTGGCTGTGCTCCTTCCTGCTCCTGCGGGACCCCAAAACAGCCAGGGAGGGGGTGCAATGCCGACAGACCCATGGGACGATCAGCAGCTCCTTGGAGAGGTTCACATCATCCATCCGTGCACCGGCCGAGCCGTTGGCAACCCTCTGCCACGGCACCACCAGCACCCAGCGGGCCCCGGGGGCGTTGATGGGGTGAGGGACGTGCAGCTCCCCCGGAGATAACAGCCAAGCAGAGATGTTTCGGCCAAGAGGACGGGCAAAGCCGAAGGGAGATCCCCGCATGGGCCGGGGTTGCGCCATCGCCGGGTCACGCCGCAGTCACACGCTGGCAGAGCGTGGTCACACCAACACCCTCCACCTGACCTCGGGGATCACGGGCAGGCGGTGTCCTGGGGGACAACAGCTCTGTCTTGTCCTACACCCTGTCCTAGCAAGTGCCGACTGGTGCCCAGCACCAGCATTAAGGGCGTTTGCTGCGGTTCCAAGGGGGTTGAGCAAATAGCGGGGCCAGCAGGTCCCCATGGGTGCAGCTGCTGGGCCAAAGCCACTTCACATCCAGCCCCTCAGAGGGAGAGAAAGTTTAAAAATCCCCCAAACCTCAATTCATCCATGGAGCACGGGGAAATTCACTTTCCCTTTTGGGTTTAAATATATCTGCTCATTCTGAAATACCCAGGGGATCCTACAGCAATCGCCCACCCATTTTAACAGCCGCTCTCGCAAACGGTGACGCAAAAACAAACAACAATTTATGGCAAAGAACGTGAATTTTTGTGTCTGGTCTGTGGTCTCGCAGCGTACGTTCTCCAAGAAGACTTCCCTGCAGAAGCCAAGGAAGCCCAGACAGTCACTGGTGGGTTCTCACTTCACACGTCTCCCATCAGGGATGCCCATGCCAGAAGTCAACCCGCGTCGACTGGCACGGAGGAGACCAGGAGCAGCCTGAGGTCCATTCCCCACCCTGCTCAGCGCATGGTCCCACCATGGGTTCCGCCAAAAGCAGGGGGGTCCTGCAGCAGAGGCCATGGGGAGAGGCTCAGACATTTCTTTTTAAGAGCGTATTTTGCAAGACTGAGTATTAATACGGAAAACCCATCGTCTGGAGAGCTTGGAGGAAACTGCCCTCACCTTCCAGCTTCCTTGTTTCCCTCCCCAGGAGACAAGGCTGGGTTTACTTTATTAAACAAAAGCAATAATTCACATTTCGAGGGGCACCTGTGAAGCAGGAGAGACTGGGCTGTGAGCAGGTAGGGAGGCTGGGGCTGTTTTGCAGCAGCGAAAAAGATGGGGGCTCCCAGGAGGGTCAGGGTCCCGGCTTTGCCTCTCGTGAAGGACCCGCTGCCCTTGGTAGGATGTGCCAGGTCGCTGCTTCTCTCTCTGCTGGTGAGCAGAGAGCATGCAAGAACTGGCGTGGGCTACAGCTCGTTATCAGGGAGATTTTGAAGTGGTTAGAAAAATGAGTATTATCCCCACAGCCTGGGGGCAGAGGGGGATTTGGAGACATTTTCCACCTTGAAGAAATAGAAAGGAAAAGGAAGGGAAGAGGAAGAGGAAGAGGAAGAGGAAGAGGAAGGGAAGGGAAGGGAAGGGAAGGGAAGGGAAGGGAAGGGAAGGCTAGGCAAGGCAAGGCAAGGCAAGGCAAGGCAAGGCAAGGCAAGGCAAGGAAAGG